TGGGAGGCTGCAGTGCTTTGCCAAGGCTGCTTCCCTCACCTGAGCGCTCATCCAGAGCTAGTCTGGGCCCTGCGCTGGGCTGTCCTCACTCTTGCACTTTGCCCTTGAGCTTGCATAGGATTCAGTAATCCAGGCCTTGATGAGAGGTGCTGAAAGCAAGCAAAGACCATCTGATGCGCAAGTATTGATCTCCAAAGTTCTGGGCACGTTTGCCCTATTTACAACACCAACTTACTCTTTTAAAATTGTCTTCAGAGGCATTTAGCCAAATGCAGATCTTCCCAATAGCACCAAAATCAAAAACTCACATATCAGGCTTTCAGGCTAGAAATAATGCATGTAGGTTTATTTGCAAATAGTTTCAAATCTTGGAAGGGTGACTCGGTGCAATACATTTGTAGCATAACATGTTGCTGATGTTGTATCTTCTCCCCACAACATCGCACAACGTAAAACTTTGTGACTAGCTTGTGCCATGAGCCTTAATTCACCGTTTCATCAAAAGACAATTCTCCATATTGCTGCCAGTCTCTTTTAGGGTAAACGTTCTGCCAGTGAAAGGAAAGAGGCGTTCAGAGTAGGAAAAAAGATGAAGCCACTAAAATGCAAATTTTATTCACAGTTGGCATGTTTATAAATATATATATTACATTCTTACAATCTACAGTACATTCTAAATATAGAGGGATTCAATCTAAGTGTTTGTGGGAGGGCAGGTGTGCATTAAACTGAGCAACCTAGATGCAATGACAGGAAGAGACTTAATAATAAAAGGAGGGCAAGGACTCACTCTGGAAAATAAAGGTAAACTTGAAATATAAGCTGGATTTTAGTTAGTGCTTTGGCACTTTGCCACTGGTCATCAGAGACTGCTTTTGGACCTCACAAAAAATGTCATGGTTTTAGGGCTGGAGGGCACATTGAATTCAAAGGGCAATCACTGAAATCCTACCATATGTACATCCTTATCAGAGGAAAACAAAAGATAATCATCACCTCTGGGAGAAACAAATGTTATCTACTGAGTTTAGCTGTTCAGGTTTCAATGTTGAATGTGCAGCACTCCTCTGTGACCTTTGAGTGCCCTCTAAACGTGCTGAGCAGGGGTCTAGAGACATAAGCAGAAGGAACTGAGCAACTTGACCTCTTCCAGGGAAGAGGATGGTCAAAGAGGCAGTTGCTGTTGGTGTCCGAGTTCAGCACAAGTTACACTTACCCAAGAGAGAGTGGCCAACTTTGGTAAATGACAGCATGTAAAGCAACTACTGGCATGGTACCAACAGTGTCTGTGCTTGGCAAGAGCACACTGTGGAGAAGCAAGTGTGCATGGAAGGGAAGGAAGAAACAACACGCTTCCCAAGCTGACTGATGCTAGTAAGTGCCCTCAGGATACCAGGTGGGGAGCGCTCCAGGGAAATGGCTGGGAATACAAATTTGAAACAGGACAATCAAATAAAGTGGGCTTTTAAAAATAGCTTGTTCTCTCAAACTTTCCAAAACAGACCTTCCCTTATATGAGTGATATTCTGAGTATAGATTATATCTTCTCCTATTTTACAAATTAAGAAATACTGAAAATTGGCTGGCAAAGTTTATTACCTTGGCATCTACTTAAAAAGAGAGTTTCAGTTTTAACTGTATATGTGTATCCATTCTGAGTGCTTGGGAGGCAAACATGCTGGTTTGTAAACAGCCCAGTTACTCATTTTTCCCCTCCAGATTCTTTGGAAACTCAGGACTTTTCAGCTCTGGGAGCTGCTTTGCTCACACCGTTGGTTTTTGTCAGCTTTAAATTAATGTTCTTGGATGGATATTCTCTGCATGTGGCTTGAAGGACATGCTTTCTTCGTGGATCTATTTATTCTGAGACCAATTTTTTGCTTTTAACCAAAGCTTGCAATATTGAACAGTAGAGCTCTGCGAACTTTGTAATATCCAAACTGCACTGGAGTTTGTTATATTTATTGATTTCCTGGGAAAGCTCAGAGAATGAGACCATATTATTTTGCTAAGTTCTTTTTCATGTTACCATGCATCAAAAAACCACACACATCTCTCACTTCCATCTCTGAGCACAGAGAAGACTTGAATTTTAAGAGCTGTCCAGGATCTCTGCTCTCCCAGCTGCTTTTGGGTGGCTTCTTGGGGCTCCATTGAGTTATTATCCACCAGCTGATTCTTGTTATCAATACAACATTTTGCCCCACTACCCAAAATTAAAGGCAGAAGGTGAGTGAAAAACAAACAAACAAACAAACCAAACAAAAAAGTCTTTTGTGTCTCATTACACATTTTCATGTAATCTCTCCATATAGTTTTTAAGTTCTTTGCACTCCCCTAGGTCCATATCCTGGCAGACCCATTTAATGTCGTCCTCACTACTCATCAAGATTGAGTTGACAGTTGGACACCCATCATCAGAGGAAATGGTGGTAAAGGTGGTGAATTTAACCCGTTTCCTCTTAGAGGTAGGAGAAGTAGTTGGTTCACTTTTCTGTTCTTTCCCTTCAGTGAATGTGGACTCCGTAGACATGAAAGATTGTCCATTAATATTTTTGGCGGCATTTGTGTCAAGGAGATATTTACTCTCTTCATAGTCCACTCCTCTGTCAATGGCTGTGATACGTTCATCTTGTTGGGATGAGAAATTTATGTGATTCTCCAGAAGTTCTGTCCTGTTGCTCAGCCCAACCCAGTCATGAGAGTGGCTCATGCCTTCTTGCTCTTCAAAGGGAACTTGTTTGTTTCTATACTTCAAAGCAAAAGTGACACAATTGATAAGGAAGACCAGAATTGCCAGACAAAAGACTCCCAGAAGAGCATACATTCCTATCTCTAGATCGCTGAGTCCCCTAGGGGTCTGGACTAGGTCATTCTCTTCCAAGTCTCCGTTGTTTCTTGGAAGATCAACCTGTGCAGGGAAGCTCGTGAAGTCTATTGGGATGTTCTGCAGATGACTATCGTCATCCAGGAGGCTTTCTCTGTCTTCTTTTTTACTTAAAATAGACCTTTGAGTGGTGGTTCCTTTGCCTTGCTCATGGCCCATTGAGGAGCTGTAATACTGGCCATCTAGCCCAGCTCTTTCCTGAAAAGTGGTTTTCTGACGCCGGTCACTGGCATGATTTTCTAGGTGGACACCAGCACCCCTGTGTTTACTGTCACTGATGTTAGGGTTGGCATCACTCTGCCCAAACTTGACTTTAATGCTACCACTTCCAACAGCTAGGATGCTCTTTCTTTTGGATTTCTGGCATGATTCACTGATCATCATCTCTACCTTCACCAGTGTCCCCTGGCCTTCTGTCTCAGCAGCAATCACAGGCCACTTGAATTTGGGGTCATGGTGAATGGAGACCACCTTCTCATCCAGAGATGTAGCTGACAAGGAGAAGTCTTTGGAGTCATAAATATCCAGGGGCATGACAGATCCATCACTGAACTGGATCCAGCAGCTGATGGCTGCTTCCTATAATATATAAAACAAACATACACACACAGAATAAACATCAAGGGAAATATGTTCTGTCCTGGTCTATTCCCTCCTCCTCACAAGATCCATATACCATTTATAACTAGGAAAGAAATAAAAAGGGAGAGCAATAAAATTAATATCTTGCCAAGATGTGAAGAGAAATACTAGTTTAAAACACTCCTTGATAATAAGATTTGTTTCCTCAAAGGTGCTTAAAGGAGCTGTATCCCCTGGGCTCTGCAGAATCTACTTCAGCACCATAATAAATTGCATGTCAGAAAGCATTACCAGTGACTGAAATCATTTACTGTTGTATATTTAAATGAAAAAAAAATTACATCATTTCTAAACTGCTTAAAATACAATGTCTCCTCTTATTGCACACAACATATGTTAAAAAATACCGAATACAACAAGTAGGTCCACACACGGCTCCATATCCACAGTCCTGGATTTTGGTCTCTCAAATTAAATAAGTGTTTTGTATAAGCAGAGGAAACCAATCAGTTGCTTCTTTAGGAAATGGCCAGGGTAATTTTCATGCTCATTAGCAATTAAAAACAAGACAATAATAAAGTTTAATCTCCTGTCACAGCAATGCAGATTGTATACTTCAGAGCTCATGGAGGCTTATTGAATGTAAATGGGTCAGACCTGAGTACTAACTCTGTACTTGCACGTGTGTAATGGTGCAGCATTCCTGGGAACCTTGACTTTTGGTTTCTAACTTGACACATTTTGAAGTATACTTAGATTTCAGAAAACATGTGCTCACCTATTTCTGAAAATCAGGTCCTCTAAGGACTCTCAAATGGCTAAAGAAAATGGTCGTGCTACCTGAAAGAATCTTGGCACTCACACATCAGTCATTTACAGAAAAAAATCAGATTGCTTTCCTGGAATCTAATTCCTGTTTCTGATGGTCTGACTTGCTCTGTTTTGGCTGGGACATTCGCACCTTATTAGACACTGGAGAATCCACACCAGAAAGACTCCTGGCTTGATGAGTGGATTCTTTGGTGCCTCAAATGAGGTGAGCTCTTGTCTGGTAAGAGTTGGGATTGCCCTGCTCTGAGAGAGAGCCTAACAGACAAACACCCAACCAACAGATTAATAACTGTACTTGCGGAAAGCGTGATTACAAGTCTTGTTTCTTTAAATAATCAGTTTTTCAAACAGATGGTATTTACATTCTAACTCAACATATATACAGAGAATAAATACATGTGATTATCTTTTAAATTCTTTCTAGCACATAGTCATTCACCTGTTCAGATCACAGAGAATAAGCCTCCAGCCTTTCGGGATTGTATCGTGCGTAATCTACTGGCCTGATTCTGAAATCCTTACAGCCATAAAGCTCCCCATGCTTCAATGGGAGATTTGCTTCTGTCTCTATTTCAGGACAGAGCCCTAAGACTTTGCTGACACTGTCATAAATCCCGGCTTTGTATTTATTAATCTTTGGATGTTTCTTGAAGGCCACATAGAATTTATGTCATCAACTCTCATCCTCCCACTGTGTTGCTTAAACCTGCATAATCATTTAATAATTTTGCATTGCTTTGCGTATAAGGATTGTGCTCTGGAAATCATGTACTAAGCAATGGAAGGAATCAGATGCCTTTGAAAACAGAGTCAGTCCTTGAAGGGTGGAGGGTGCACTCCTTCCTCGCTGGTTTAATACCGATCCAATGCCGTTCTGACTGTACCCCTACATCCAGAGAGGGACTCATCTAGGCTCCGTTTCTGGGAACTGAAATGTCGGTGCTGGGCAGCATACTGAGACTAAATGCAATCAACCCCAGCTTTTGGGCTGATTTCAAGGTAGTTTGTTTAACTCCCCATGTCAGCAATGGATTAGCTCACTGGCCTTATTTCTAGCTGCCTGGCATTGATTTCTTAACTCCTGGAAGACTATGGGAGTCTGATTTTCATCACTCTATAAAGACAACAGTTCTGCATTATTTCTCATCCTGCATCCCAAGTATAAGACCCTATGATGAATTAAAGCATCTCAACAGTTGGCCAGATTTCAAAAGTGCGTGTCGCGATCATTTACCTTTAAAGCTCAGAACGTGTTAAAGGATTAAGAGCCCAGTGCATCCTTGAAGTAAGTCCCAGACTGATGGATTTGGGTTGAAAGGAAAGTTTAAATTTCAAATGTAGAGAGAAGCACAAGGACAAATATTAAGCAGGGACTAATGGGGACATGGCAAAGTCCAAAAGCCCTTGGTAACTGTTGGTTCCCTAATACAGGGACTAAGAATAACCAGGGGAAAAAATTGGTTTATGAATTCATGAATCAGGAAATGAGTCAATGATGCTGATTCATATTCCAGTAATGAATCAGAATGAAAGAGATGTTCCCCAACTTCTTAAAATGCCCACAGAAAGTAACTAAAGGAAGAAGAGTTTTGCATAGTGCAAAACATTTTCTAATTTAAAGATGGATTTAAAGGGTTGCTTTGGATACCTGTGGTGGGAGGCTGAACTTGGCAACCTAGTCCTGTGATCTAGTAGGTGCTCAAAGGGACAGAAAGGAATTTAAAGATGGATTTAAAGGGTTGCTTTGGATACCTGTGGTGGGAGGCTGAACTTGGCAACCTAGTTGGCAATATGTCCTGTGATCTAGTAGGTGCTCGAAGGCACAGAAAGGGTGTGTGCACGTAAGACGACTGCTGTTGCTTAATTACGACACATCATTGAGTTGCATGTGTTATTTATGGGATGCAGCCATGACAGATTGATTATGCCTGTTTATTGACTGGGATTGTTTAGACATCGTGCCATTTTTGTGAGACCTTTGTTTTTCTGTTAGGGCACCTGGTGGCCTTCAGAAAAAAGTGCCCATAAGGAAGGTATTTTATAGCATATTATTAATAAAAATCTGCTTGATTCTATCAGCTTGTAACGTTGGATGTAGTGGATCAGAGCGGTGTACTTCCACAACACAATACATGTCCGTAATAGTACCTGCTTTGGAGATTGGAGCAGCTCTTGTGCTACTGCTGTAGCAAAGATGGCCTTATTGCTTCCTGGACTGAGCTGCAGGGAAAGCGACAATCCAGTCACCAGCTGCACACCCAGGTCAGTTATTGTCACCTTCTCATCCAGAACTGTCACTGTCTTCTCGGCCAAGATAGCATCTGAAAGGGGGGACAATATCTGAAAAGAAAAATCGAAGTTAGCAACAATCATTTTGCATAACGCCAAGCAAAATAGCTACACAGAGCTACTGTAATACAGATAAGTGATATTTATGCTAATGGGCAGAATTACTCTTAGCAGACAGACATTAATAAAATATGATTAAAAAATGGCTAGTCACATTTTATAACTCTTCTGCAATAATAGGGTGCTTATAACATCTTTTACCAACATAATTGTAATCGGCTATGCTATTCACCTCTGCGATATGCTAACTACATCTGTTTCAGACATATTAAGTATTTGTAAATGTCATCTTTATGTGAAATGCAATTATTTTATTAATGATTGTATTTTTAGATAGCATACATGTAACACAATATGTAGATTTATATAAAATCCATCAAATAAATGGCATTTATTTCTATCCTATAGAAAGAAAGGCTAATGTATTGCTACAATAACCACTCATGGTACCTTATACAAGATTGACAGAGAAAACTTGTTTTGGTTAAAAAATGTGCATGGAGGTCAATGCAGTGATATGTGACATCCAAAGGTGCTCATTAGCAAGCAAGTTGAATTTAATGATCTAAATAGGGTACAGAAGCATTTTATAAGAGGTATTCTTTAAATATAACTTGCTCTCAGCTTTTTTCCCTTGGATTTTTTTTTTCCACAGTTTTATGTGCATTTATGTGCAGAGTTTTGGAGCACTGTAAGTCCCAGAGATTTGGAAGGTCATTCAGAAAATCTTTACAGATTTTGCAGAAAGTCAAAAATCTCGAATCCCATTTCTCCAGCCCTAACAACCTGTGTTATCGTCAGGTGCGGTGGTTGTTTTCTGGTTTGACAGTTTGGGATGACGAACATGTTTGGAGAGCTAGATTTTTTCTTCCTGTTCCAGTGCTTGTTAACACGTTTTCTACTTTATAGTATCACTGGATTAATCTCTCTTTCTCTCTTTTTTTTTTTTTTTCTGTTCTTTTCTGCTGGGACCCCATTTTCTAGGCTACAATTTCTCTGCACAGCAGGAAGAACTACATGTGAAGAGTTGCCAACAAGACGATGCATAGGTTTAGGTGAGTTACCCGAGTGGGGACACTAAGGCACGGCCACATATACAGTGGTATTTATAGGCCATATTCTTGGCCATATTGGCTGAAACTGATGAATTTAATTTGCACCCCTGGAGAACATAGCTTTGTTGTCACTAATCAGTCAGTCTTCTAACGTTGTTCTAGGAGTGCCAATTATTAGTATTGCTTTGTGCATATTCTGAAACAGACCCTAACATTTATATTTTGTAACGCACTCCTTGAGCTTGCAAGGTGTGCCGGGATTTGATCCCATGGAACTTACATTCCAGTCTCAGTTCCTCAACCAGCACTAGTTAATTTTTACTTTACCCTTTTCTCTGTCAATGTATGCTTTGAGAAGACTGAGCTGTTTCACCAGCTGCATGCTTTGTGATAGCCCTTACAGTGGCTCCAAGTTCAAAAAAAGCCTTAGACAAAAATAATAAGAAACAGCCTTCAAGTATACAGGTTGGACCAAATTTACTAAAACTGCAATCTACATTACTTTAGGGCACAAGATAAGAAGAGAAAACCATCTCTTCTGTGTCTTCTGGTCCTTGCTGCAATTCTGCTCCGTTCAAAAATTCATGGCTCCTATTTCTGTTGCTAATGCAAGAAGCTGCTGTACACCTCATGAGTACCTCAGTTCCCAAGGTGGTGGGTTAGTGGAGGAAAAGGAATAATTAATTAATTTTCCCTACCTGAATTGTCGTCATTCCAAGCTCCTGCCCAATCAAAACCTGTCCGTCCTGCAGCTTAGCGATTCTTGGCTCCTCCACCTGCATGAAGTCACTCACCAGGTCGGTAATGTCAATCTGCCAGTCAGAACCCAGTAAATAGCTCAGCTGGCCACCGGGGTCTGAGGCTTCAGCTACAAACTGCGTGAGGACTCGCACCATCGCATGTTGGTACTGAAGGGCGCAGCCTCTTCCCTTACGTTCATCCTCTTCTTCATCATCACTGTCCCTGGCTGGTCTGGTAGGACATCAAGAATAAAAAATGAGTTTAAAGTGGTTCTGGCAGAACTTGCAACAGGACAGCTATCGCTGACATAAGTCTGCAGCCTAGTTGGTGGAACAAGGGGCCTTTGCCCCCTTCCATTGCTCTGCTGAAGCTGCTTCCTTCAGTGCATTTCTGAAGTCTGTCAGGTTCCCTCACTTTTACCCTGTTTCCCTTGTTCATAACTGAGGCCTCCAGGCTGCCTAAATCTCCAATACAGCTGCTGAAATCACCAACTGGCCTGCTAGCTTCGCTACCACATTGTCCTCTCCAAATGTCTCTCATTATTTTCCATGTTAAGTCCTTATTTTCAGGTCCTTCACGCTTTTTTCTTTCCGGATCTTCCCATAAACATCTTTATGTTGCCATGGAAATCTCCTCTGTCTGCACCTACATATACATCCCTTTCTGCATGGCATTCAGGCTGAAATCGCATCTCCACAGAAAACCCCATCTCTTTGCTGTGATGCTAACAGAAACCTGGCAATAAATTATGTCTTCATAGGTAGGTGGGAATACAAAGTACCTACTTTATCAATTTGTTCTTCTTAACAACACTGACAGACAGTCTAGATCTGCCTACATCCATTCTCTGTCCTGTCATCCACACGCCACTGACCTGTGGGCACGGACAGTACCTTTAAAGCCCTAGTGTATCAGTGTCCTGACTGGGGCACACTGATCAGTGCCACTGGACCCTATAGTGATATGAAACAAGTATGTATTAATTGTGACCATTAACAATGACTAAATTAACTGGCAGGACCTGTGAACCAGGCTGGGGACTGACCAGCCTTGCCAGAGCTGGTCCTTGTTGATGCCTTCCTGCTGCCTCATGGCTAATCCAATTGGCTCTTTCCATCTCAGTCACCAGCACTATAAAAGGAAATTGATTTGCAATGTAGGACCATGCAATCTGTGGTTTCCATTTCCCTCGGAAGTCCAGTGCGGGAGTCTATTGAATAAATATCTGGTGACCTTCAAATTTACACCAGAACTGCATTAAGGGCAAATGAGCATGCTCAGATCCACTGGTCCTGACAGGTCTTTGGCAAGTGCACAGACCAGAATGAACATCCTCTAATGAAACCTACCTCTTATTTGACATGATGGGGACTCTCCACCCCTTGATTTGATTTAGTTCTGTGTCAGAGACCTCTATCTGCAGCGGGAGACGAGGAACCCAGACTGTCATTTCTAAAGGGGCACTCAGATGCTGGTAAGTAAAATTAACTATGACATTCACTTTGCCTTTCATTTCCTTCCCATTGACAAAGACATAGTCACATCTGTCAGAAACCTGAAAAAAGGACAAAAAAAAAATTAATGAGTCTCTTCACAAATTATAAAGTACACCACATGCTGGGAAAATGAGTGGGAAGAAGAGAAAGGATATAGGTTTAAACTAGCTCCAAGTTCAGAGGACAACTAGGAATAACAAGAAAGGTGCCTGGTGTGCCCTTAATAGCCTGTATAATTTGGCATAATTTTAACAGGCAGGCTTTTTCTGTTACAAACATTTCTAGTATTATCTAAGCTAAAAGAACAGCTTCTTTCCGTCCTTAATTCCCACTCCAACACTAGGATAGTCCTAGCATAACAGCACTGAGAGAGGATCCTTCTCCTCTCTCCAAAGCTCAGTAAGACTCTACCATCCTCCTCCTCTACTTTGTGGACAGCCCAAGGAATACCACATACTTGAGGGGAGGAACAGGTAACTGCCCGTATACAGAACTGAAGAGGGGACAAATTTCTCTAGTCAACCCCAAACTGGGACCAAGGGCTCTTCTTGAGTCCCATTACAGGTACCAGGGCATGGGGTAATCACATCAACCAAAACCTAATCACAGGGAAGAGTTCATTGATGTCCAGTGGTGTTCATTGGGGCAAAACAGCTTCATCTCCGCTGCAAGCCTGACAAAGGTCTTACACAATGTTCTGCTCAAGGTAGTCCTGATGTCGCTTTATTTATTACCTGCAGCTCTGGACATCAATATTGCTGCAAGTTACTAAATCTCACTCAAGCGATTTAGCAGCTATTGCAAGGATCTAGGTGAGCTGACAGGACCTGTTCATTACAGCTAGTTAAAATATATGAGTAAATGTACACGTCAAATAATTTATTAACTACCACTTTACCATGCTGATGATCTGAAGGAATGATCTATTAAAACTCTGAACTCTTTTCACAATCCATTACCATTCCATTCTGTAGATGCATTTAATATATCTGACTCCAGAATGCATAGTCTTATCCTCATCTGAATTTAATGCCATTCTCTACTTTTCTGTTTAAATGCTAAATGAATTTAAATCGTATTTAAATGTCACCAGCTTTTGTAGGATAATTTGCATTCCTAATATCATTATCTTTAAACAACAACAACCCTTTTTACAGACAGATCCATAGCAAATCCATTTCCATCCTTGCTTGTCTAAGCCTAGGTAACGTACCAAAAAAGGTTATCATGACTCTTGCAATGTCTCTCTTGCAAGTAATGCCTGGTTTAAGGCCAAAATCTTATAGTTGCCATTGGTTTCAGCCGGAAAGTAAGGAGTTTATTTACAGGCAGAATTACGTTTTTCAGGATATTCTCATGTTAGCACCTTTTACACTAATTCTTAACGGCTCCTGTCAGGATCCAATCTTATTGTGCTGCACAGCAAGAAAACCTAGTTGCTGTCAAAAAAGTCTCAAAGCAAGAGGGTATGCCATGCAAGGGGAGGACCTCGCAGCAGGCAGCTGAGCACAGACAAGTCCTGGCTCCAGCTGGGCCCTGTGGCACTGATGTAATACGCACTTCATCATAATGCTGATCCAAACTGGCCTGAGCTGAGGAAGATGAGACTCGGCAAAACTCCGGGAGAAGCTTCATGTGAGCCTGCCGAAGTGGCTATAGGCTATAGAAGGCATAAGCACGTTCCCCTTCTGGGAGCAGCACGTCTGGGCAGCAGCAAGACAGCAGGCGTTATTCTTGCATCCTTGCAGAGGGCACACTAAGGTGAGTGTAATATTTTCAGGGCGAGAACTACATTGTACTTCCTACCTGCAACGTCTAATATTCTGTCTGACAGGTGGGAAGTCAGAAGACATTCGGGCAGTGCCTTGTACATCTGCTCCTTCTCCCACCCCATGGGGGTACCTGGCTTCCATAAGTGGAAATCATCTGTTTGTTGCTGGCACTGCACTTATCCCTGTTGCCTTTTTGTATTTTAAGTGCTGTTCTCAAACCCTCCTATGTGCCAATAAGCCCTGCCTGCTGCTCTCTACCTTTCCCTGGGATGCCAGTGAGAAGAAAAACTGGGCAGTCTCAAAAGTGGCTGATTGCTGCTTGAGAGGCAACAGATCAAAGCTGAAGACAAAGTGGCCCCAAGGAAAACCTTCAGCCTGGGAGCCGATTGCCCTGAGGTCTTCCACTTGTCTGTGCTCTGCAGGCTGGACCACACATACAAGTGAACGGCCTGAAGACAAGGATTTTGTTCAGTAGCACATGGGGCCACACAATAGCGTTCAGTGTGATTACCTCACCACCTCTGCTTCCAGCTAGCAACACCTCATATTTGTCTAATCTTACCTAATTAACATATCAGGCAATTAAATGTCCCCATGGGTGATCAACCTGGGACTGAAACCATTTCCTAGTGATTTAAGGTAACAGGTAAACTTTTGTGCCTTGCAGCACAGAAATCGTAGTTGAGGGATGTTTTCAAACCACCGCAGTGTCCTCTGCAGAGGAGAGCGCTGAGCCTCTGGAGCTCTGCACCCCAGCAGACCTCTCCTGTCCCCATGCCTGTCCTCTGCTCTGCACTTGCAACAGGGCTCCTAGTAGGGCCCCTGCCAAATGTCCTTCCATCAGGGTAAGGCTTCGCTGTCAGAGCAGTGGCTTTTGAAGCACACACAGATAGCACAGGGGGGATTTTGCTGTTGTTTTTATCAGTCTGTGTGTGTGAAGAGCAGTTCAGCACATAGGGACTGGAACAAGGCTGAGACTCTCCCGGGTAATAGAAGTAACTGCTGAATTATGCTAGAAAGAGATGGGAATCAGACTCTTAGATTTTAAATTCATTAATACTCAAGCAATAGCAAAAGACAGAAAATTTGGCAGGCAAACAGACCTCAGTTCCAACTTTATCAGGGTTTGCTACAGAAAGAGAGAGTTACAAAAAGAATGCATCCCTTAAAACTTACTGTATGAATGATCAAATAAATACCATGACCTTGTGCTTTCAAGATTATGATTTATAAAACAAACTGATGGTCAGGAAAAGAATGACTACACTTGGGATACCCGCCTTCTCCTGTTTCCCTTTCTGCAAGTGAAGACAGCAACAACTATGAGCTCATTCAGTTCCCAGCCAGCCCTTCACTGTTTGAATGAATAAGCATCACTGTTCTGCTGCAGTTTGCATGCAGTCCTAACAGAGCAACATCAAAACATAGTGCAAAGTACAGTACATTTTCATAAATCAGGCCAGGACATTCGGAAACAGGTCATCAATAGAAAGGCAGATTAGCCATGCCCACGTTACTGCAGACACATCCGAACCATTCATCTTCCAGCCCCAGAGAAAGACTAAAAAGTTGTAGAGAAAGAAGAAGAATCAAGCTTCTCTGTCTCTTTTGAGATTGAGTTTTCTAAGCTGTTTGTTGGAGGTGAGCGACTCTTTTGTGAGATGAGTTTGACAAGACTCAGCTGAGCCTCTGCAGGACAAATGGGCACAAGAGCAAAGCCCTGTCAAACGCAGCTCAGCAGCTGGCAGCCTCCAGGCAGTCCCCGTGGAGGGAGGAGGGAGCAACCGGGTCCCCCCTCGCATGGCTTCTCCATGTTAATGGTGATGGAGGCAGCACGGAGAAGCTTCTGCTGCCACTGCCTTTTCTGAGCCAGCATGTCTCCTTTTCAGTCTCTAATGGATTTCAATTCCTCAGTCTGTCAAGCAGCTCCTTTTCTTTAGCGTTAATTCATATAAACAGCCTTTAACTACCAACCCTCCTTCCTGTGCTACGGTTCTTGCTTTACACGCCTCGCCACGCATAACAGAAATGGCTGTGGTTCAAGTTTATTAAACGCATGAATGGAGCAACGGCACATACCCACGGATGTGTGTGCGAGAGTGTGTAAACAAAAGAGAGGGTCTGTACTAAATCAACAAACAGCTCCCAACACTTAGTTATTCAGGGAATTAAGAGGTTGCAAAAGTTTGGTCCCAAACCAGGCAGATTTCAGAAAACTATTAAACACATTATAAAATGCAATAGGAACTACAAAGGGGCTGGAGCAAGGTGGGCGGTTTGTGGGGAAAAAATTTTTTTTTTTCCAAAATCCAGGGACTCCCACCCATATCTCCTTTTCCTTTCCTCCTTTCTTTGAGTTTTGCTATCTCAGGGATGGCAACTCCAGTTTTCAGTAAAGGTGACAAGGAGTCAAGAGAGAGAGAGTAGATTTTCTTTTGCTGTTTATGTACCACTGGAATACATCTCTCTGTGTTGTGGTCACTGTAATTCAAGGACATTATAATGCCATTAAACCCTTCTGGTGCTGGGCTCCCTTGCTAAAGCCTTTCTGGGCTTTGTATCACTGGAGCTTTTCACACAACTACATTGAGCTGACTTCCATTAATTAGGGGAGGCTGTACTTAATGCTCACAAGATGCTCCAGAAACTCCCTCAATACAGGGGACTTTTATCCCTTGAGGGAACTGGGCTTTGAATGGTTTTTTTGGGTATGAACTTGGTAGGTTATAAAAGTGCTTTGGGTTTTGCTTGGCTCCTACAGCTCCACCTCTTTTTCTTACATCACTGAACAGCTAAGACAGCTTCCTCTGAGTCACACACAAATATCTAATCTCCATGTACCAGGGCAGCAGTGGTCAGAGGTCCATCCCTTATTGCCAGCACAGCACAGAATCAGGAATCAGATTTCTAAGTGCACCATGTACATACCAAACACGCGGTTTCTGGCAAGCTGGATGTCGAGTTCAATCGTCAGTGCTACAAAATGTGCAGAGTGGAATATTTCAAGTGTGCTCAGCATTGCATTTAATTCAAACCCTCAGTCCTACTGTCAGAAACGGGAATCAAGTTAAGTCTCTGTTACTTCCTACCACAAAATCCTCGCTGTAAATACGCATGCCTCAGCCCCAGGGGCAGCTCTGTACAGTGGGTACCCCGAAACTGAGCCCAAAGCTCAGTTGGTAACCTTGCAACTGTGAAAGTGATGCTGCTGTGTCACTTTAATATAGGACTGTTTCCTTGGCAAACAAATACTGACCAGCAAAGGAGGGGGGCATTGCTGGTCCAAG